CTTTCTGTACATGTTTTACACCACCGCTGCGCAGAGTGTGGTTAGCAGTTACATACACACACATTCGCACTAGTCTGCGTACATTTTAAAAAATACAAAAATATATTACCTCTGTAGTTATTCAAGGAAAGCATATACACGTGTAGTAGCAGTAGCAGTATCAGTATCTGTTACCTTCATTGTGACTTTGTTGTACCCCACACAAGTAACAAGGACATTTGTATACATGCAGTTCAAGTAACAGGTCAAAAACAAAAAAAAAAGAGGGGACACGGGGGTGGGGGGGCTCATGCATAACGCTGTGGAAGAAACAGAAAACAATCATAACAAGTTTCAACATATTTCAGATGGAGTTTTTTTTTTTTTTCAGAAGATGAGGGCAAGATCTGATCTTTTCAGTTTGGGTCCGGCCCACTGCTCTGTCTCCGGTACAGAAGCTCCTGCGTCTTAATAGGATCAGTTTCCTGAGCATTTTTATACCATAAACGGGTTAAAAGAAAAAAAATCGAGTGACCAGGAAACCGTAGTGTCGAGTGATACTTGGCGAAGCTGGAACATTTACTAACCTCTCTTATGCTCGTCTCCCTGCAGCAGGAAACTACAAGGTATATTATTCTTCCATACGTTAGGGTGATGATGAAAAAGACACTTTGAAATTCACTTAGGTTACTGCTTTTCTTTTTTTTTTTCTTTCCTTCAGGACCTGGATTCTCATAGATCCGTGAGAGCAGATCTGTTCACAGGACATCTAAGGAGACTGAAGCAAACGTTGACATATTAATATTTTACAGATGGCTTTAAATTGCAAGAGACCTGGTAAGAAGCAAAGGCAGGGTTTGTTAAAGTAGCAAAAAATTGTCAATGTAGTCCAAGGTCACTGAGGACTGTCAGTACCGTCGGCCCATAACTTGTGACTTGACCTGCATTCAAACACTTTTGTTTCAGAGTTCAAAACCCCTGGGACCTGGCTTGGGACTAGATCAAAACTCGTACTTAAAAGCAAGGAATCCCATCTTGTACAGAGAACGACCATGTTGGTGTTGAACTCAGACACGACTCTTATTTCCTATAGTGATTCAAGCTATAGAACTGGACTAACAGTCGGGATAAAAACATCCTTAATCCTAAGTCCTGTGGGCCGTCTGCTTATTCTTGCTTTATACGCTAACAAGCCGAAAAACTGTATTTCTTTTTCCCAAATCTTGTGCAACATGAACACTTTTTTCTAGCACTGTTCTAGAAGAGAATAAACAATGTTTGTAAAGGGACTCACCAGTCCTCTTTTCTCCTCCTGTTTCATCCCCTAGAGTTCCTAACAGCTGATATCGACTGTGGTTGTTCTGCTGCAGTCACAGTAGTTACTTTGGAAGAACTGTACTGCTATTCCCTCGTCTGGAAGAACACAAAACACTGCAGACTCCCGCAGAAATACTACAATTTTTTTTTTCACTCCCTGAGCCAAGTTGGAAAAAAATCTCACCGAGCTACAGTGAAAAGTTAACAGTTGGAGTCTTTGTGAGATCTTTCCAAATCCATCTTTTTTTTTTTTAAACAGCAACCAGCTTTTCTGATGGACACCTCGCTGCAATCTCCTGTCTGGTTTGCACTTTAACAAAAGGAACCGAAAGGAAACCCTGACGTGGGGTTGCTGGTTCCAACACTAAGGTATTAGATGCCCTTTTTACGACAGATCTATCGTTTGTGCCTCTTTTCGTGTGAAAATTCTAACAGCTAACGATGCTTTCCGCAACTGTGCTGCTCCAGAGCAAATGTCCCAAACCTTTTCACACCACCAACCCAGACGCTATTCTCACAAACATATATATGTATATTGCATTAAAGTAAAAACTCAACATAATGCAGAAGGTCATGTGATTATGCAGACGGTCTGCTAAGCATGCTGCTGTTGCTGAGGGGACAGCGTCCCTCTCCACTGTTATAGTCGTTTATTTTCGATACTCAATCCTGAAATTTTGACTAATGCCGAGCCGATACCGATGCGTAGGGATGCTCAGCGCCGAGTATAACCTGTCATGATAAACCTGTACCTTAATTCTGAATGCTAAAGGTGTGTCTTTTTGCTCTTGCTGAATATGTTGCATTACATTTGTAATAATAATTTTAGTATGTAAAGAGCTAAAAAAAAAAAAAAAAAAAGCAAGATCCACCTCTCAGCACCATGTTTCCAGAATGCCAACCAGGCTGTGATCACAAGACTATAACAATTTCACAATTTAGTCCACATTGGAGCCAACGTTGAGTGATCCTAAATAGCAGAGTTGTGTTGAAATTGACTGAACTTCACCTCTAACCAGAGGCTAATACTGCTCCGTGTACAACGGACCGTCAGTACGTAAGTCCTGAAACATCCCTCTATAAGAGCAGGTCGGGAGATCTGGGCTCCTCTCACTTAACTCTGACATCTTTTTTTTTTTTAACAGTACATATTAGGATCCAACTTGCATAGTGTAACAGCACAGCACACGACGGGGAACACTGTAGGTCCTGGTTCCCCCGCAGTTCCCGATGGACGACATAAGACCCATTCAGGAGAACATTTCTGCGGTCCGTTAACGTCTCAACTGTGTCACCGAGTCGATGATGGACACCATGTGGTCTGACACGCACAATAATGGTAATACTGATAGACAGAACAAAACAATACTGCAGCGACCAGTGCGATGAGTACACGAGACTTGGAATAGTACTGACTACTATAAGACTGCCGAGTAGTGGGTTTTTTTTTTACACATGTAGTACTTTGGCTCAGTAGAAAATAGACTTAAAAAGGAATATGTGCACCAAATGCAAACAAATCTCTGTGTATAACTCTGTACAAAGGTCAGTTGAACTGTTGTGATGTCTTAAAAAAAATGTTAATAAGGAAAACGAAGCGTTTCTAACGTGTCCACCTTCTTTTGCGTACTCGTAGTGTCGTTTCCGTGACGATTATCCCATAGCTCTTCTCCCGTGTGTCAGTTGGTCGGCCGCGCGTAGCCATATTTCTTTAATCTTCAAAATGACGTAGTGTGTGTGTGTGTGTAAAGAACGAGTTCATCTTTAGGGGGACAGCAGCTGTGTTTGAGGTGAACTACTTGACGATGCTACCGACCGTAGGGGTTAGAAAGTAGAAAAGGTATTTGTCCGAAGACGGTCGCTGTAGTGGAGATCAGTTACACTTCTCAAGAAGACTCGTGAAAGAAAAGTCCTTGCCGTCTGAAAGGTTCATGGAGCGTGGAGTAGATATTCAGACACCTGAAGGAAATGGGAGAATTAAGGGACTTCGTCCCCATGAAACAGGTCTTGGAACGTTTTACTTCAAAATCAAATGCTTTTAGAAAAATTAAGCACGCCGTGGTGTGTTTAGGTGCTTCTCTTTTGGTTATTGATGTGCTGGTATTGCCCCAGTCTTACGCTGTTCTTTTTTTTACCTTAGACGCTCCAATTTAGTTCATGGCGTGCTGTCGTATTGTGTGAAAAATCCAGTCCATCTTTGTGGTCCAGCCGCCATGGTGAGCATCGTTCATCTGCTTCATGAAGTAGTCCAGGGCCTCCTGCTCCGTCTTGTCCAGGGCCAGGGTCTTCCTGATGTAAGCAATGTCGTCAAACGACTGCAGCTCGGGCATCCCGGAACCCAGCATCATGGAGAAGAGGTTGATGAAGAGGTTGGCATGCTGCCGGATGGCCAGGTAAGCTTTGTAACACATTTCCTGGAATCTTCAGAGACAGGAGTTACCGGAGAGAAAATAATAAAATCATGAAAATGTCGGGGCACAGCTCAGCGTCAGTTGATAAAATCCAAGACTTGTTTTTTTGATTTGTGGAGCAGCAGCCTCCAAAA